TATAACCACAGGGGAAACAAACAGTGCTACTTACATAACAGTGGGATTAGAGCCATGAGGGAGGTTATCATTGGTTCTCAGAGTCCAAAGAAGTGGCACCTGACCTGCTGGGAAGTGGGGGTGGACTGGGAAGGCTGGTTTGAGCCGTGATACACACTAACCAGACCAGAACTCAGGACTAGAGCTGAACTGGTGTAAGGACACTGGATGATTTCTCAGGCTTTATTCTTTGACAATTCCTAGGCCCAGCCTACTTACTGCCCTGATAGGTAGATCAGTTAAAGGATGGATTGGAGGGCTAAGGGCATGGTTCAAATGTTATAGTGCCAGCAAGTTCTAGGCCCTGACTTTAAACCCCACTACACACACACACACACACACACACACACACACACACACACACACACTATGGATTGAGTTGGCAAGTAGGTACCAGACTAGAGCTGCTGGGAAGACTGAAATCTTCACCCAGGCAAGAAGTGATAGTGAAACAGCCGGTAGTAGAATTGAGAGGACTGAGCTGACAGATTGGGAGTTAGCAGCATTGCTGTGGCAATGACAGTTGTTATCAAATGGCCAGAGTCCAAAGAGGAAGGGAATTTAGGATTCTGAAAGTAAGCGATCTGTTTAGATCTAATATGAAATGCATAGGTATGTTTCAGGTATTTTTTATTGACCAAGAATATCTGAATTTTAAGGTTGGTTCTATTGTCATTCTAAACCTTAAATCAGTGGTTCTTTAGGTAAGGCACGTTTGCCAATTCCCGGTGGGTTCTATTATTCAGTCCACCTTCAGCTGTCTGGGCATTGCTTGACACTTTATTAAATTACAATATTGCTGATGTTTTTAAAAATACTTTCCCATATTACACAGTATTTTTCCAAGAGGCACATTTGAGGTAACCAAGACTGCTGTCCTAATAGCCCAGGATCCCAGCTAGTTGAAGCCAACTGTCTATCATTAGCCCACAACCAGTTTGCACTGCTGTGAAAGACCACAGATGTCTATCAGTGAGCTGTTTTGAAGGCGAGAATCAAGGCAACTGGAGAGGAAACTGGATGAAGGATATGATTATATTCAGTAATCACCTTACATGTGGTAAGGCAATTCAGGAATCAGCAGTGTTTAATTTAGGTCTCATATAAAACAGTAAAAATTAAAAATCAGTAATTTCACTTATAGTGAAAGATATTTCCAGCCAAACCTTTTATACTATATTAACTCAGGCCATTTAAAAACTACTTTTTGGCTGGTGTAGTGGCTCAAGTGGTAGAGTGCCTGCCTAGCAAGCGTGAGGCCCTGAGTTCAAACCCTAGTACAACCAAAAAATAAACAAATAAAAACTATTTTTTGGAATGAAATTTTAAGGTGAGCTCTCTCCAGTACCCAGGCAACCATATTACATTGTGTAGACAATGAAATATAAAAATGCAATGAATATTAATATACTGTGATTAACAGTTCAATTTATTAGCTGTTTTAATAAAGTAAAACTTTATAGTGAAAATAACAAAGTAGAAATAAGCTTTTTTATGATATGCTCACAAGATGACAGATGTGGGGGGAAGATACCTTCAGGGACAATAATACAATGAGTAAGGAAAGGTGAGCAATAAAGGGTCAGGCTCCAGTTCAGCTTCTTGATACCACGGAGATTCTAGTTTGAGACTATGTCAGGGCAGCTTCTGGACATCACTGATCTTGTATTTAGTAACATAAAAAATCCACTTTATCAGCTACTTTAAAGCTTGTGGGAGGGACTTCTTTGGCTATGATATTTATTCCAGAAGCTCCTGGCCGTTTGGAGGCCTCTTTATCCTTGAGTAGGGACTGATTGTGTCATCCATCACAAAATCATACAGGACTTTTGCCCAGGAATTGTAGTGGGGAAGGTTGTCGTAGTATTCAGCTGCTATTTTCCTCACCTAGAAGTGAAAAATACAGCAAGGTGAACACTGAATGTCACTCAGGCCTATCAAAGATGACCGGTGAATGTCACCTTCGATTTGAACAAAATCCACACCATTCAAAAGGGCCATACTGTTCATCATGATCTTCAAAACATCCTACAATTCTTTCATTCATAGGACAATCTACAGACCACACACACACACACACACACACACACAAATAAGCCTTGAGCCTAATGCACACTGATCCTATGTCAAGGCCAGCAGCAATCAGTTTCTTTTAGCAGCTGGAATAGAAAGACACTAGAGCTTTCCCAATGTAGAACGACAGTCAGTTTAGATCCTGAATAGGCACTTAAGATACTCCTGAAGAGTAAAACTATATTAACAATCATGATAAAGACAAAAAGTTATAATTTGTACTACTTTAAAGATATAAGTAAAAAAATCAATAAATTCCATAATACTAGGAGTTAGAAAACCTAGGGAACTTATTAGTCATGTGTCTAATTCAATTCAAATGCTGAAAAATAAATCTCTGATATGCATGACAGAGTTGTGAGCAATTGGAAAAATACACACTTCAAAGTATTTTGTGAACAGCAAAGCTCAGCAAAAATAAAGAATAAAAAAGTTAACATATTAAATTTAAAACTTTGTTGTGATTTAAAATGTTCCAAAATTGGTAAATGATGGCTGCATAACTCTCTGAATATACTAAAATCCACTAAATTATACACTTTAAGTGGATGAATTGTATACATTATATCTCAATATTGCTGCCAAAAAATCATTTACTACTGCACACCTGCTAAGTATGCAATAGTCCTATACAATGGAGCTACTATAATTTAAATATGTAATAAATACCAGGTAGTTATTAAATAAACAAAATTGTATGCTCCTTGTTGACACATGTACAAAACCACTGAAAAAGCAGAAAGGCAAGACTAGCCAACTCTAGTGATGCTTATGTCAGTTTAGTTAAGAAGACAACATGGAAGAGAGAGGGAAGTGAACAGTCATGATGTACAATGGGCCTTAAGTGAAGTATTATCTGAACTAAGCTAGGTTTTCAATTCTAAGACTGTTTCAGAAAATTACAAGTGAAAGCTGTACTTTATGTTGGAAAAAAAAATTCTTTTGTTCAACAAGTGACTGGATTTCTCTTTAAAAAACAGTAAAATCACTTCTGCAATCACAGAAGAGGCAAATGCCTCACTCTGTTTGGGCCAGCACACTGGCAGAATGCCACCAAAGAGCAGGGGCAACCAATGCATTGCACCACAGGTTCCAAGTTGCCTTCAGAGAGTTGAGCACTGTTTTCTTGTAAACATTTTATTGAAAATAAGACCTACTAAAAACTTGAAAGATTAGTAAAGTGAACACCCTGTTTTACCAACAATTAAACCTTCACCTGCTTTACCAAGATTAACCCTATGACACACTTACACTCTGTATAAACCCACATACTTCATTCTCTTCGCTGAACCTTTTGAAAGTGGCAGATGTGATGTGTCAACTTAGTATTTCATTACCAAATGTTACAGAACATGAATTTCTAAAGGACATTTCTCCTATAAAACCATAATACATTATCAAACCCAAGAAACCTAACATTGGCACAATATTATCTAAAACACAGTCCAAGCTGGGTGCTGGTGGCTCACATCTATAATCTTAGCTATTTGGAAGGCAGCGATCAGGAAGATTATCGTTCAAAGCCAGCCCAGGCAAATACTTCTTGAGTCTCTATCTTGAAAAAACAACAACACAAAACAGGGCTGGCTCAAGTGATAATAAGGCCCTGAGTTCAAACCCCAGTACCACCAAATAAATAAATAAATAAGCAAACAAGTAAATAAATACAGTCCAGACAAAGAATTACCCACTGAGTCAATGTTGTTTATAATTTTTTTTTACTTTCTGAAACTGGGGATCCAAACCAATACTCTGATGCTGTACTTGGTTTAGCATAAAAAGTTGATGTTTAAAAATTTGATTGGGTGGATATGATATGGTTATGGTTCTCTTACATCATATCTTAAAAAAATCAAGAAAAACTAGTATTACGTTTCACATATGTCATCCTTTTTGAAATTATGGGAAAAAAAATTTTAATGGAATAAGCTACCTATTTTGAGAATAGAAAGGTTAATATGTTTTCTTTCATTTACTCTACAAACAGTACACTAAGTCTACTGTCAAGGGAAGGAGACAGTCCCTGACTGGGGAAGACTGCAGTATTAGAAACTGGCATCTATTCATTTTGTGGATCAATTATGCAGGTTATCTGGATTTCATAATAAACCACACACGTTTAATGGTGGTAAAGAGTCCATTAACTATAGCTAACCTCACAGAGGGGTATGGTTTTCTATTTCTGAGTTATTTTACCACATAAAAGACTTTGCACATCTTCCAGAACTTTTGAACCTTAAATGTAAGGAAACAGGATAAGAATATAGAAGAGTAAATCCTTAGTAAAATCAGACTAGAGAAGGATATATATTTTTGCTTTAAAAAAAAATTGAACCAGGCACCGGTGGCTCACCCTGTAATCCCAGCTATTCAGGAGGCAGAGATCAGGAGGATTGCAGTTCAAAGCCAGCCTGGGCAAATAGTTTTCAAGACCCTATCTCAAAAAACCCTTCACAAAAAAGGGCTGGTGGAGTGGCTCAAGGTGAAGGCCCTGAGTTCAAGCCCCCAATACCTCAAAATAAATAAATAAATAGATAGATAAACAAATAAAAAATTGAAGGGCTGAAGGCATAGCTCAAGTGGTAGAGTACCTGCCTAGCACACACAAGGCCTTGAGCTCAAACTCCAGTCCCACCACCACCATGTGTCTATATATATATACACATATACATAACAGTTTAGATTAACAGAGTATACTAGAATCCTTTTAAAATTATCAAGTCAAGGGCTGGGCATGCTTAGGTAGTAAAGCACTGACATAGAAAGCACAAGGCCTTGCGTTCAAACTCTAGTCCCCCCAAAAAAGACAACTCAAATAAAACAAGCAAGTCAAGACTACTTTTGATTACATAACCATCTGATGTTAGAATGTTAAGTTCTCTACTTACCAGTGGAAGGTTTTTCCCAGGAACGTTGGGGAAGTCATGATGTTCATTATGATAACCCACATTGAAGGTGAGTAAATTCAGAGGCCCATAATACGAGTATGTTTCATGTCCTTTTAAGAACATGTAATGTTCAGCTATAAAATGTCCAGATATTGGGTGCAAACCCAGACCAAGTAGGGAAGCTGCCAACATGTAGACTAAAGATTTAATTCCAAAAACGTAGTAAACAATAATGTCAAAAGTAATCTGAGATATAGTATTGATAATTTCCAGGTAGGAAACTGGTTTGGGGTTGATGAACAGAGGTCGAAAAGCATAAAAGAGAGGCTGAAGAATAACCCACATAAACTTTCTGAAAGTGGTACAGAAGAACCAGCCTTCAAAATCAGTAGGAATATCCACATCGATGCCATCAGCTCCAAGGTACCGGTGATGATCCATGTGATACCTCTTAAAGGAAATTGAATATGGAATCCCAATAGGGAGATTAGCAAACATTCCAAACCAGCGATTCCATAGTGTCTTGTGGTGGCCAAAAGTGAAATTATGGGCAATCTCATGAATAGCCAGAGTCATTGAGTGGTTAACACAACTGCCAAAGGCGTAGGCCCAAAACATGACCCATTTCCAGTCCAAGTCTCTGACCAAGTAAAATGCAACCAACTGGGTGAGAACCATCAGAATTATAATCCATTTCAAGTTAGAATCAGGTTTCATCAAGGATTTTATCTCTGGATATTTTGCTGTAAGAAAAAACAAACAAAAAATCAGGAATAGAGAAAAGTACAAAATAGTTCAGCAACTATAATTAAATTGTTAATTATATTTTTCTTCTTGAAAACATAATCTCTCTTCTATTAGAGTCTTAATTATATATATATACATCCCACAGGGAAGGAATACATCCTGATCGTAAAGTTATAAAATACTGTGATAAAATTTATGCAAGAAAAACTAGAACGTAGAAGCTTCACATTCTTCTGTATCAAAATATGTTATATCTACATTTAGACAAACAAAGCTCTGGCATATTTACCTTATATAGAACATTAAATTAACACATCTGACAAAGAACAGTTATATTTTATAATTATCTCAAAATCATAAAACTTATTTTCACAGTTCTCTCAGACAAACTAACCTGTTCCAAGTAATTCTGTACTGAATTTCCACAACACTGTAATAGTACAGAAAAACGTGAGTCAGATGTGGTGTTGCAGAGCCTGGCATGGTGGGGCATGCTGGTAATTCCAGCACTGGGAGGGCTGAGGCAGGAGGATCATGAGTTTGAGGCCAGTCTGGACACACAGGGTGTTCCAGGACAGCAAGACCCTGTCTCAAAAAACAAGAAATAACAAAACAAACAAAAAGCCTAATCCCATTAGGCCAAGTACAGTGCATTGCTGTAATCCCAGCACTCAGGAGTCTGAGGCAGGAGGATTAACAGTTTGAGCCAGCCTGGGCTACATAGTGAGACCCTGTCTCAAAAACAAAAAACAGTACAAGGGTGCCCATATAATTAAACAGTGAAAATATAGTCTTTTCAACAAATGGTGCTGGAATAACTGGTTATCAACATGCAGAAGAATGAACTTGGACGCCTTCCTTACACAAAAATTAACTCAAAATGGATCATAGATCTAACTAAAAAAAACCTATAAAGCTCAATAGAAAACAATAGAGTAAATCATCATGAGCAGCTGGGTGCTGGTGGCTACAGCCTGTAATACTAGCTACTCAGGAGGCAGGGATCAGGAGGATTGCAGATCAAAGCCAGCCTGGGCAAACAGTTCTGCGGGACCCTATCTTGAAAAAACCCAACACAAAAAAGGGCTGGTGGAGTGGCTCCAGGTGTAGGTGCTGAGTTCAAACTCCAGTACCGCAAAAATAAATTTGTTAAAAACCTTCATGACTTTTGTGGTTTCTTAACACAACATACTAAAAGCACAAATTACAAAAGAAAAAAATGGTTAAATTGAACTGCATCAAAATTTTTTGTTGTGAGAAAGAACCCAAAGAGCAGGAGATCATGTTTGTAAATTATTATCTATTGTAAATCTGGAAATTGTATCCAGAATATATAAAGAACTCTTAAAACACTTGTAATCCAATTAAAGATAGGCAAAAAAATTTCTACAAAAAAGATATATAAATGATCAGTAAGCACATGAAAGATGCTTATCATGAGTCATTAGGAAAATACAAACTGAAACCATAGATTCAACTTTACACCCACTAGAATGACTGTAACAAAACAAAACAAAAAAAGACAGGCAGCAACAAGGGTGTGGAGAAACTGACTCTTCATACACTGCTGATGGGAATATAAACTGGCATAGACAGTTTAGCAGTTACTCAAAATGCTAAACACAATGTTGCCAATGACCCATCCATTCCATTCCTAGACATCTCCTTCCCAAATGAAAAGAATCCACACAATACCTTGGACATCAATGTTCAGAGCAGCATTATTCAAAATACCTGAAAAGGGGAAACAGCCCAAATGTCTACCAACTGAAGAGTAAGTAAAATGTGGTGCATCTGTACAAAGGAATAGTCTCTTGCTACAAAAAGGAAAATGTACTGATACATAGTATAACATGTATAAACCCTAAGAATACTGTGTTAAGTAAAAGAACCCACAGAAGAAAGACCAAGTATTGTAAGAAATGTATATGTACATGCATGTCCTTATGAGAAATAGCTTAGTGGTCACCCAGGACTTGGCGGGGGGAATAGGAGGAGATATGGACAGTTAAATGGTGGTGATACTTTACAACTCTGTATACTTGAAATGGGTGAATTTATGATATATGATTTACATTTCAATAAGGCTGTTTAAAAAGTTTTACTATGAAAGTAAACAGTAAAGGAAGCATTGATTCTAATTTATTCTTATTTGACCCATTAACAGTGGTGCAGTCCCTAGCCCAGCCCTCATTAATATCAAATACATGCTTCTTTTCCTTTTTTTTGGTGGTGCTGGGGATCAAACCCATGTCTCTGAACATGCTAGCCAAGTGCTCTACCAACTGAGCTGCCTTTTATTTTACTTGTTTTATTCATTCATTTGTTCACACAAAGGGTCTTACTACGTTGCTCAGGCTGGTCTTAGATCTTGAGAGTCCCCTGCCTTGGCCTTCTGGGTAGATAGGACTACAGACACCCATCCACTGCACTCAACCAAGGTATATTTCAAATGAGCTTTTAATATGAACTCTAAATGTAAAGTTCTTTTCCCTTTCTTCTTTTTTTTTTCCCAGTGCTGGATTGAACCCAGGGCCTACCAGTGCTAGGCAAGCATTCTAATACTGAACTATATCCCAGCCCTCTAAATGTAAAACTATTCAGACAAGCAACATATCTTTGTCATATCATGATTCTCCACACCCCCCAAAAACACCTAACAGAAATTTCAGAAATATCCCTTTTTGTCTGAGTGTAATTTAAATTAACCTTCAGGTTTTTATCTTTCCTAAGGATATTTCATCTCTCACTCCTAAAATGGAACACTGAACATTATTTATAACTTTTTGGAAAATGCTCTATTTTTATTGAGACATAGTAGTGAAATGGTTCAGTGACTGTAGGTTTGTGGAAAAAAGACTCAGTACTGAGATAAGCATCAATTAGCACCTTCTTGCTTCCTTGATTTTCTGACTGTTGGATAGTTAAATTCCAGTACCTGGGAGTTGATTTTTACAAGAATGGACACCAGATTAGTCTTACACAGCATGTTGTTAAGGCACAGTTTAAAATGCACTATATATACTATCAAGTGAGTGTAATCAAGAGAGAAAGGAAATTTGTTATGGTGTGGATATGAAGTGTCTCCCAAAAAAGGTTCATATACAAAGGCTTGGTCCCCAGCTGGTGGATCCAACAAGAGAAAGGTGACAGGATCCTGAAGATTCTGACATAACCAATGAATTGATCCCTTGATTGATTTAGTCTGATGGCATTACTGGGAGGTGGAACCTGGATGGAGGAAGCAGGTCACTGAGATCATGCCCTGGATAAACATAACTTGACCCCAGCCCCTTCCTGTCTGTTTCTGCTTCCCACCTGCCTGAACTGAGCAACTCTGCTGCATCACGATGTGCTGCCTCACCTCAGTGCCAAAGCAATGAAGCCAGCCCCAGGCACTGAAACCTCTGAAATCGCAGTCAAAATAAATCCTTCCTGCCTTAGGTTGTTTCTCTCAGGTATGTCGCAGTGACAAACACTAACACAAAAATCTAAGAACTCAAAGTAACTAAAATCAGCATCCTTAATAAGAAACTGTAAAGGTGCACTCTCCCAATTTAGTGGTTGACTTTTCAAATTCTATTTCAGGGACTGGGGGTGTACAGCCCAATGGTAAAGTGCTAACCTAGCACCAAGAGGTACTGAGTTTGACTCCCAGCAAAAGAAGAAGGGGGAAAAAAATCCATTTCTATGGCATCAACTAACATATTTGTGGAACATGCAAGTTCTAAATTTAAATACTCTTGTAAAAATCAGGGCCTTGCCTTTTCTTTTCACTGGGCAAATGGAGGTCAAGAAAAACTAGGGAAATTCTCTGTATGAGAAAGAATACCTCATATTCAATGCTCCATCCATTACTTCCCTCAATTAAAAAAACAAACAAACCATAAGTTAAACGCAATCCCCAGCACCAAAAGTAAATAAATAAAGCATAGTATCTTTGGGCGCAATTCTACCCGGATTAGGATCCTCCTCATAGCATTAACTCATTCGTTCTTACTTCATTTTTTAAAATGCCAATCTAGTCCAATTATCCAGGGAGAGGATTAAATTAGGTAATGTTTGCAAAGCTCTCATCTCAGCCCAATGCCTAACACATCATAAGAACAGCCTGAGAACAATGAGAGAATTCTCTCTTCCATAGAAGCCCTAAATATTCTAGAGTTAGGTAAGGCCTACTTAGTCTGGCCTAAAAGGTCCTAAAACTAAGTCAGGAGACCAGCAGGCTAAACTGCAACTCTTCCCTATTTGGCAAGTCTTCCATATGTCAGCCTTTTTTACCCACAAAACCTGAAGGGGTGAAATATGTCTGCGATCAGCTACGTGACAGAGCACCAGGAATCATCCTGTCTGAGAAGGCCAATGGGTCAGGGGGCCGGGTATCCATACCCAGCCTGGGCTGTCCCCTGCACCGGACCACGTGAGTGTGGCTCCAATGGCCCGGGATGCCCCGGGACACGCCCTGTACAGCGCACTCCCGCAGCCCGGCTTCTTCCGCGCCCACACAAGGGTACACAAATCTTCCAGCCGGAGGACCTGGCCAGGGGTGGCCCAGCCCGGGGACCCTTAGCCCTCCTAGGACGGCGGGGCGCCCGCGCTCCGGGACGCGGCTGCAGCTTTTCGCCAAAGGGTGGGTGCAGCGGCAAGGGACGACGGGGGCCCCCCATTCCTCCCTTCAGGCCCGAGCCCCCAGCCCGCCCCGCTCCTCGCCCGGCTTGCGGGGGAGAGCGGCTGGTAACGGGCCTCGGGAGCCCTTGGGCGCGCAGGGCCCACACAGGGCCCGCCCGCGAAAGGCCACGCAGGCACATAACGGGGCGCCGCCGGTCCTCACCCAGAATCTCCCGGCGCCGGTCGGCGTGGGGCTGGTCGGTGTAGACCCACTCGAAGTCCTCTCGCGACACGCGGCTCCCCATGGCGGCGGCGCGCGGCCCGGCTCTGGCTTTTGCTCGGCGCCCAGCTGCTCGCAGGCGGAGGCGACAGCAGATCCCGGGCTCGTGTCAGTCTGCGGCGGGAGCGGCGGCGAGGAAGGGGGAAGGGGTGGAGCCCGAAGCTCCGCCCCGTTCTGGCCCCGCCCCACCGGGGAGCGACTAGGCAGTGGGCGGGGCAGTGGGCGGGGCCGGGGCGGGGCGCGCGGCGCTTGCCCTAGGGGTCCCACGCAGGGCGGGGATCCGCGGCTCTGGGAGCGCGTTCTGAGGCTGTGTGGCTCGTGGGACACAGGCAGGTCCCGGCTCCCTCCTGCTGCTGGCGCCCGGTGCCCGCAGGGTGCCCAAGCCCAGGAAAAGGTGAAAAGGAAGACAAGGTTGCGCGGCGGCACCTCTGGGATCCAGGACCCCCAGGAGGCTGCAGCCACACCTGCTCATGGGATCCGTGGCATTAATCATTGCCAGGGATCCCAAATTTTGTTTGATTTTTAATAGCAAATTATCCATAAAGCGCCATTCTTGGCTGCTTTATGGAACTAATACGTCCTGGAGAAATGCAGAGTGTGAAGAAAACACTATTTTTATTTTATTTTTTTGAGGCAGTGTCTCATATATCCCAGGCTGTCCTCAAACTCACGATCTTCCTTCCTCTGCTTCTCTAATGCTGGAAATGCACCACCACATCCGACGAAAACTGTCTTTGGAAGGGGAAATGGTATGGAATTTATTATTCTAAGGTAACCATTTCCCTTACATTGATGATTGCTTAGCTTTGTATCTATGTCACAACCTCTTCCTGAAAGAGGGGACATTTTGTTTCAAAATTAGTTACAACTTCTCAAGCAAAAATGAAACTTTGGGGACTGGAGGTGTATGTAGCTCAGGGGTGGTGCACAAGCCTAGCATGATATTAAGCCTTGGCTTCAAATGCAGCACAAGAAAGGAAGAAAAAGAAGTGAGGCAAGGAGGAAGGAAGGAAGATTGGTTAACAGGGACTTAAAAGATAAATCAGGTTGGAGGTGTGGCTCAAGTGGTAGAGCACCTACCCAGCAAGTGTGAGGCCCTGAGTGCAAACCCCCATACTACAAAAAAAGATGAATCAGCCAATTGCAATGTGTTTGACTGTATTGATTTAATTCAATAACCGAGGGTATTAAGAAGTTATTAATTTCTTAAATGTGATAATAGTATTATGGCGACAGTTTCTTGAAATAGTTCTTATCTTTTAGAGATTCATACGGGGGGGGGAACTAAAACAATGAAATTATGGTACATGAAATTAGCTATACAATACTATGCTAAGCCACCATTTTAAAATGCAGAAGTTAGCCAGGTATGGTGGCACGTATCTGTAATCCCAGCATTCAGGAAGCTGAGGCAGGAGGATCACGAATTTGAACCCAGCCTGGGCTACATAAGCAGACCCTATCTCAAACAAACAAACAGAAATGCAGTTCTCTTTATACTCATATGAACTGACCTCCAAAATGTACTGCAAAATGCAAAACATGAAGGCAGTAATAAATATAATGCCTATTTCCTTGAATATCCATCAAATATGTTTAGAGAGACACAAGAAATGGTCACATTGTGAAAGAGTAAATAAGTAGGGGAGAGGATTATGAAGGACTTTTTTTTTCAGTAAGTCATTTTGTATCTGTAACATTTGAAATGAAAAACATGCATATTTTGGGAAAAAGTGTAGATTTTGAAATTCTAAGGAAAAGACTTGTAGCTACAGAATTGTTAGGGGAATTAACAGCTACTACCTCTTAGGCAAGTTTTTTGTTTTGTTTTTTTTTTTGTGGCAATTTAGGGCTTCCGCTTTACCGCTTACGCCACACATCCAGTCCAGTTCAGAGGCTGGCCTCGAACCCATATCCTCCCCATCTCAGCTTCTCAAGTAACTGGGAGTATAGGCATGAGCCACCAGCATCCAGCAGTATGGAATTTTTAAAGTCCTTAATATGTATTCATAACAAAAAGTCAACTGACAGAAGTATAAATAAGTGTTTTGAAGTTTTAAAAGTTCTTAATTTATTATCTAGTTTTTGTATCTTTTCCTTACTCTTGCCAAGTGATTTGCAAGGAGTTATTTATACCAGTTATTCTAGAAAGACATTATCCAGTCTGTTGTTAAAAGCTGTGGTAAGAGCCGGGTGTGGTGGGACACACCTGTAATCCCCAGCTTGGGCTACATAGTGAAAGCCTGCCTCAAAAAAAAAAAAAAAATCAACATCTATTGGCAGTTTTATTTATTTACTTATTTTGGCAGTTCTGGGGTTTGAACTCAAGGCCTCATGTTTGCTAAGCAGCATTCTATCACCTGAGCCACTCCAGCAGCCCTGTTTTGTGTTGGGTATTTCTGAGAGAGGGTCTAGAGAAATACTTGCCGGGGGCTGGCTTTGAACTGTAAACTGATCTCTGCCTCCTGAATAGCTAGGATTACAGGTATGAACCACTGGTGCCCAACTTTACTGGCAGTATTCTTCAGAGAAAATCCAGTAGAGTTGAATTGGAATAAAATGAACTTTGCTAAGTGGCTTGGAGGAAAATTAATTACAAAAAGCATTCTATTTTTATACATAAGCAACAACCAGTTAAAAGGGTCAATCAAGATAAAAAATGTACCTAGAAAAAAAATAACAAAATCTATGCCAGACATTCAATGTCAGTTACCAATGGTTTGAGGAGGTGAATTGGGGATTGAACCCAGAGCTTTGAGCAGGGTAGGCACATGCTCTATTGTTAAGGTACATACCATCTCCATAATATTAACACTTTATTGAAAGACATTAAAGATTGAAATAAACAATGAAATACACCATGTTCATAGATTAGAAGATTAAATATCAGTTTTCCTCACAAATGATCCACATATTCCTCAATTGATCTATGTATTCAATGCAACTCGAGCCAACATTCAACTAGGTTTTTGTTGAAACTTCATAAAATAATTTAAATTTTTATGATAGAATAAGAGGCTCAAGAACCACTAATGCAAACCTAGAGAAAAACAAGGTAAGGGGACTTACTTTGTCAGATGCTATTAATTATAATACGGCCTTAATAGATAAATAATATAGTGTCTTAGTCTACTCAGGCTGCTCTAACAAACTGGATAGGTTCTAGACAACAGACATTTATTCTTAGAGTAATGGAGGCTGGCAACTTTACTATCAAGACATGACACTTCGATTGTCTCCTGAGGACTCTTCCTGGTTCATAGATGTCATCTTCTCACTGTGTCATCACGAAGTAGAAGGGGGAAGCAGTTCTCTGAGGTCTCTTTTATTAGGACACTAATCCTATCCATAAGGGTCCCTGTCTCAAGACTTAATCACTTCCTAAGAGCCCCAGCTCAATTCCCATCAGTTGGGAAATTGATGTCAACACATGTTGGGAGGACACAAACACTTAAAAGTCTACAGTGATATAGTGATAGAAAAATATTAATTCAGGGAGAAAGAATCCAGAAATAAATCCTATAAGTAGAACTAAAAGGACAATGAAGAGAAGGAAAAATTGTCAAATGGAATGAACCCACCTCATAGTGTACATTAAAATTAGCTCAAAGTGTATTATGGCTTAAAGGTGGAAGGTGAAACTACAACACTTTTTAATTTAAGATAATATATTATTTAAGGAAATTCAGGGAGGATTTCTTAAAATAAGGTGCAAAAATCACAAAACCATTAAGAAAACATATTTTAAAAGTATGACATTAAATTGAAGAACTGAAGGGCTGGGACCGTGGCTGAAAAGGTAGAACATCTGCCAGGCAAACACAGAGCCCTAAGTTCAAACCCCAGTATCATCCAGGAAAAAACAATTGAGGAACTTTTCACTGTAAAGAGTGAAAAGACAAATCATAAACTGAAAGAAGGTATTTCCAACACATGCTATCAGGAAAAGATTCCTATTTGAAATATATGAAGAACTTTTAATAATCACTAAGAAGAATAGAGAGGAGGGAGAATAGGAAAACATGAACAAAATAAAAAAGAATTTAACAGAAAGGGAAACATGGCACCTCACAAGATGACATTTCTATGTATTTGCAACACAAGGAATCTATTGAAGAACGCTGGTTACACAGATGACAGATTTGTTGAGAGTCAGATGGGGAACACAGAGAACACCCTGGGAAGTACTTTCATTCCCACAGCTGGGAGGTCTACTCATTGGTTAGTAGAATGTTCTGTGCCTTCAGGAACTCACATTACCCAGTGAAAGCAGGAGCCAAAACTGCAGCAGGGGAAGCCCAGAATAAAGAAGGAAGTGACAGATCCCTAGTGTTTCCCTTCCTTCTCCCTTCCTGTGTCTCCCATTAGCCAAACTCAGTTAGAATCCAGCTCACATGGGAGGCTGAGAAACACAACCTGCAGGGGCCTGGCCCCTCTGCAGTGCAGGGCAGGAAAACACTGAGGAATGGGTCAGAGGACACAAGTGTCCTGGGATGATTTGAAAAAATGTCCTCATTTATTATGTATCAACAACATTGTATTGGTCATCATTCCGTTATTGTAACAAATACCTGAGATGAATCATCTTCTAAGGAGGAAAGGTGGTTTTGGCTCATGGGTTCAGTTCACCTTCTATTGGCTTTGTTGCTTTGAAAGCTCTGTACATCACGGTGGAGCACATGCTGAGGCCTGTTTAGCTCAGGACAGCAAGCAAGGAGCCAGGAGGGAGGTTGAAGGGGGAGGATCAGAGAGGGAGGGTAGCTAGGGATTCCAATAACCCTTCAAGGACACACCCCTAATTACCCAAATTCTCTTAAAGGTTTCACCACTTCTGAATAATGCCACAGTCTTGGGACCAGATCTTCAACACATGGGCCTCCGGGAGATAGCCAAGATCTAAACTGTAATAGACGTGTAAATAAAAGCCACCATACAATAGTAATTTCACAAACTCTCACTTCCAGAATGTATGCGTGAGTAGCTCTGTGGATCCACTCTCCAGTGGATCAGAACTGGTGAAAATTTTACAAAATTACTACAACTATTTACAGTCTCTGGAAATTATCCTAGGGATATACAGCAAATGAAGAAATGTTTATCCACGAAAATCTAAAGCTCGGTAAGATCAGCATAGCATTTGAGGCATATCCTGCTTTTTCTTCCCTCAACCCTGGATCAGCATGACAGATGCTCCACTCCAGGCAACTGTGGCCAAAAACTCATGGCTCCTGATCTCATTCCCAGTCTAGGACTACAGTGTCTCCCTGGTGGGCCAGGTTGCCAGCATTTCTCATCCCCTTCCCCTGCTCCATGTTGCAGAAGCGAAGTCCCAGGAGAGCGAAGGCAAGTAGTCAAGGACTCCATTCACTAACCCATCCTTGACTCACAGTGGAGGCTCAACACCAGTTGTGGTAAGCCAAGAATACTCACCTTCACCCTCACTTGCTTGTAGAAGGGAAGTTCTGCAGTGGGAAAGGCAAGTGAGGAGAGCAGAGCAGTCAGCCCCTCCCAGCACCCTGCTTGTAAAGTAGGGGTGTCCTTCAGAGGAAAACAAGCCATTGCCCTTGCCTTTAACTCTGAAGCATGGGTGAGAATGTTGCCCACAGAGAGAGAGAGAGACAGGCCATAAACCCAGAGAGTTCCAAAGCACCTGCCAAAAACTAATTTATTTTAGGACAGAATGTGGGGAAATTCTAACCTAAGGCTGCTCACAAAAACTATGGATCTTTTTAATGGTAAGCAATAAAAAGATGGATGATGGCGCCATGACAGCAACAGACTAAACCATGCACCAACTAGGTTTCCAGGGGAAACCAAGAAAGAGACAGCTAAGAAGAGCCCTCCAGGGGTTAGAAGAAACCTCAGACCGACCTCAAAAACTATCCCTGGAAAATGGCTCAAATATATTTGGACAGATTGTGAGGCAATTTATGGCTCCAGGGTATGTCAAAAGCAGAGCAATTACCCTGCAATTAGAGAAGCCTGACACCCTAGTGTTACACCAACAGAAAGAACCATCTTAATGGACCAGGTTAAGGGTAATCAAGGAACCCAGCTAAAACCATTGTTATCCTAAGATGACTGTGAGCATGCCCATGGCTATGCCCCTGGAGAGCAACATCAGAGCCTTCCTGAGGGCAAAATAGGATTCATTAAAATAGCCCAGCTAAATCACTTAACAAATAATCTGGGGAAAGGAAGGAAGGAATCAGGACTGGGAGTTGCTATAATTTATCATCTAAACTGTTAATTTTGTTTTTTTTTTTTAAAGGAGTCATTCAGAGAAACAGGAAATTGGGATCCATATATGGAAGTCCAGGGGAGGTAACAGAAATTACCTTTGAGAAGTCCCTGATGTCAGACTAAAAGTCTTTGGAGGAGCCAGTATAAATATTTTCAAATAACTAAAAAAAACATGGTTAATGAAATAAAGGAAGGCATGTTGACAATGTTTCATCAAATAGAGAATATCAATAAAGAGACAGAAATTACAAAAAAAAAAAAAAACCAGGGAATTTCTGGAGTATAATGCAATAGCAAAAAGTACAACGCAAAAATCAATAGGGAGGCTCAATAGTGGAAGTTAAACTGGAAGAAGAAAAGAAAATTAAATGTAAAGATAGATCAATAGAGATGATGCAATTCAATGAATATTTTAAAAACCTGAAGGAAGATAATGGAACAGATACAGGCAAAATGTCATGTGGACATGAAGACAGCCATCCACAAGTCAAGGAAAAAGATCTGGAACAAATTCATCCCTCACAACCCTCAAAAGGAATCAGTCCTACTAACCCTTCAATTCCTAACTTCTGTCCTCTACAACTCCAGAGGAATTGAAGAGACACAGACTCAGTGCATCAGGATCAATCCTTTGCTTTAAGACAAAACCTTATTTTATATATAAAATCATTTCTTATTTAAAAATGTTCTCCTTCTCCTCCTCTCCTATGTACTGGTTCCTTTCTACCTTGTTTTTTTTTAAACCCAAACTCCACTTATGAAACAAATAAAGATCACCTGTTCACACTGTAGCTGCACATACTATGCAAACTTTGTTGCTATTTGGATTTTTAAAGGGGTTCCTTTACTTATTTTTCCCCTTTGGTCTTATACAAGCTTAAGAGTTACAGAATGTTACAGTTCCACCTGGGGCTGGCTAAGATAACAAAATTTCCAAACAATCTTGAACAGAAAACTATTTTAATATAGGCAAGAAGTTTCTAGGCAGATAAGGACAAAACCGGGAGGTTAAAAGCATGTCACAGAAGGATTGTGATATAATTGATAAAATACAGGGGCATGAGTTGGCATAAGGAAATTATAAGTAAGGATATTTTCTCGATAAGTAAATATTTTACATGATAAAATAAGGTTTTTCCTTAAAGATTGTTCCAAAATGGGAATAGACAGATAAGGACAAACCCAGGAGGGTAAAAGCAGATTACAGGATTGTAATAGATTTTATAACAAGAATAGTTAATTTAAAAAAAAAAATACTGGGCTGGTGGAGTGGCTCAACTGGTAGAGTGCCTGCCTAGCAAGTGTGGGGCCCTGAGTTCAAACCCCAGTACTGCCAAAAAACAAATCTCTTTAGCCAGGCATCAGTTGCTCACGCCTATAATACTAGCTACTTAGGAGGCAGAGATCAGAAGAATTGCAGTTTGAAGCTAGCCTGGGCAAATAGTTTTCAAGACCCTATCTCAAAAAAAACCCATCAAATAAAGAAGTAGTGGAGTAGCTCAAGGTGTAGGCCCTGAGTTTAAATCCCAGTACTGCCAAAAAAAAAAAAAAACTATCTTGATAAATTTATAAATGATTCTCTAGAAACTTCCTCTGAAACCCCAGTGGACACAAAAAAAGTGCATCATTGGCTCTCTCTGAGACAGCCCACTGTCCTCTATGGAGTATATCCTTCCTTCTCCTAATAACCTTTGCTATTACTTTCATTATGTTTTGTGTCTTGCTTGCGATCTCTCACAGAAACTCAAGAACCAAGGATTCCAACCAAAGCTTCCAGTAACAACTGGTTAAAGAGGTCCTGTAAAACATTGGCTGCTAAAATCATAGTTAGCATGATGAAAGCCTGAATGCTTTGTCCTGAAGATGGAACAAGACAAGATGTACCCTCTTGCTGCATTTAGTGGAAGGTATAAATAACCAGGGCAATGAGGCAAACAAATGAAATAGGAAGCATCTACTTTAGAGAAGAAGAAATAAAACTATCTCATTTCACAGTTGGCACGATCTTATATATTGAAAACCCTAAAGAACCCACTAAAAAATCTTTCAGGACAGTGCCTTAGTCCATGTGGGGTGCTATAACAAATTACCAAGACTAGAGTGGCTTATAAACTACGCACATGCTTCCTCACAGTTCTGAGGCCTGAGAAGTCCACACCAAGGCACTGGCAGGTTTGTTTTCTGGTGAGAGCTTACTTCTTGGTTCTAGATAGCTTGCGCTCTTAGTATTGTCATGTGCAGGAGGGAGCAAGGGAGCGTCTGCATTTCTTTTCTAAGGGCACTAATCCATTCATGTAGTCTCCACCCTCCTGGCCTAGTCACCTCCTGAAAATTCTCTCATCCTAATACTCAAACAGTCATTCATTCTGGACCTGTGAATCTAGGAAAGCATGACCGCTTAGAAGCTTCCTGTTTGGAGTTCTGGGCCTCTGATTTCCATCACATCTCTGCTCTGCACTTTTTTACAACTACGTTTCTTTTAACCTGGAAGTGGAGAGTGTACAGGGAAACTGTTACGCATTGAACTACCTCTGCAGTTAGTCATTAAGATATAGAGCAGGGGCCATGAAAACACAAACCTATGCTTGCAGATTAAAAAGAACAAAGGATTACTCCTCAGGTAAAAAAAAAAAAAAACAAGAGGCGTTAATTCAGGGTGTGGCTTGACTTAGAAATAGAAAGGTCACCACCAGATTCATTTTAATTTTGTTGTTATTATTTTGGGATGGTTTATTATTATAAGTGAGATGTTTCTCACTAATCTATCATCTGTTAGGTATGTTTTTAAGTTTCCTTTAAAAATTTGAGTCAGAGGTTGGTTGACTTGGAACTCAGAATTTATAAAATAGGGAGGAAGCAATATGATGACAAGAGGCTTTCCTATCACACAGAAAGGAAATAAGAAGTACACCCCGCATTTTTGTTTTGTTTGGTTTTTTGTTTTTGTTTTTTTTGGTGCTAGTGGGAAAGAGTGAACTCATTCCCACTAAAATCAAGAAGAAAGCAAGAAGGCCCAGTGGCTTTACCTCCTTCAACACTGCTTAGGAGATTTTAGCCAGTGCATTAAGAAAAGAGACACATTAAAGAGATACAGATTGGGGGGCTGAGGGTGTGGCTCAATTAGCAGAACACTTGCCTAGCAAGCACTGAGGCCCTGAGTTCAATCCCCAGTACAAAAAAGAAAGGGAGGGAAGAAGGGAGGAAGGAAAGAAGGAAGGAAGATTGATTTTGAAGAACTGGGAATTTATAGGCATCAAAGAAGAAGAATGTTAGAATAAGATTGCTAGGTTAGATAGAAAACGGGGAATAAAATTGTAGCTTTAGGGTTATCTTTTCTATTACATAAAAATCTACAGGATTCCAATCAAAGCCTAAAGAGCAAAACCAATGAGGATAGTTTTTTCAACATTTGTTGCTGTAACAATTGAACTTTATAAGGAAAAACAATAAAACTCTACTTTTTCTTATAACACACATGCACAAATTTAATCAAAATAAGTTTAAGGCGGAGCTATAACTCAGTGATAGAGCTCTTGCCTAGCATGTGTAAGGTTCTGGGTTCAACTCTCAGCAGGGCAAAAAAAATTAAGCCTTTACAAGTACTATTTAAAAGTATAAAATAATCAGTAGAAAACATAAGAGTGTGAAGAGTCTACAGTCATACCACCCTGAACATACCCAATCTCCTCTGATTTTAGAAGCTAAGTAGGGTCAGGTGTGGTTAGTACTTGGATGGGAGATTTCCTGGGAATACAGGGTACTTATTCCCAGGCTTTAAAATAATTTAAAAAAAGAAAACTTTGGTGACCTTGGGGGTAGGTCAAGATCTCTTAGGATAAAAAAAGTAGAAATTATAAAAGAAAAACTTGAAGAAATGAATTACATCAAAATTAAATACTTCTATTTTTCAAAACATACTCAAGAAAATAAAGGAACACATGTTCTAGGAGAAATTATTCACAGTACATATAGCCAACAAAAGCCTTGCCTGTACATCTGGAAGTCCTGTTCATGAGAAAACAAGCAATTCCCACTCATGTCACTAAAGAAGAATTGCAAGTTTCTAATAAGTACATGAAAACCTTCATAACATCACTAGTCATCAGAGCAATGCAGATTTAAACAATGAAATACCACCACATATTCACAATAGTTAAAAACAAATTCATGCCCTTTCCCCTGATTGGCAGTTCAGAGATCACTTGGTGCCTGGTAAAAGATACAAACCAGCAGTTAATGAGAGTTCTGGCAGCGCTCCTAAAATGTCCAGGAAGCTGAAACTCTCCTAGTGAATGGGCATGATCCATCTGAACAAGCACAACAAACTTGCTCCTTACGATGAGAACTGGTTGTAGAGGTGAGCTACACCTCTGTGAGCAATATCTAAGGGAGAGGTGACAGAAGTGGCATCATTCTTCAGTCAAGATGCCAATGTGGCTTGTCTGGTCCTCCAAGCCCTAAAGGGGCTGAAAATAATGCAAAAGAATGAAGATGGAGGGTTGCAAAGCAATACCTGAGGGACAGAGATTTGAACAGAATCTCCAGACAACAGCCAATAACAAACATTAGAACAAATGATGCTGAGTTAATAAATTGCCTCACTTGAAAAAAAAAGCTGACAATATTAAATGATGAGGATGTGGAAGACTGGACTGCTCCTACATTCCCTGCCCAACTTTTTTTGGTGGTGCTAGGGTTTGAATTCAGGGCCTTGAGCTTGCTAGACAAGTGCCCTACTACCTTGAACCAAGCCCTCAGCCTTTTTTCCTCTTTTCCCCCATGTGGTAGTGATCCAACCTACATGGGCCTTGCACATGGTAAGCAATCAAGCATGCTACCACAGAGCTACACCCCCAGCCTTGCTCATTCATTCTTGATGAGAAGATAAAATGTTGTAATCGTTATGGAAACCAGTTTTATGCTTCTTATGAAGTTAAACATACATCTGCCATTTGACGGACTCAGCCATTCCACTCCTAGGTATTTTCTTAGAGCAATGTTCAAGCAAGGATTTGTATGTGACTGTTTGTAACAGACTTATTCATACCCATCCAGAGCTATCAGTAGGTGACAGGATAAGAACAATCTTGCACAATGTATCTTTATGATAGAATACTATACAATAACATGCATCTATATGTTGAAATCTCAAAAACAGGTTGAGCCAAGGAGACTTACTCAAAAGTTTTTAACACAGGCCATCTGACTCCTTTTACATGAGGTGCAGAAAGGTATGTCAGTGGTTGTAGAAGGCTGGGGTGAGCCTGGGGATCAACTAGGGAGGATCAGCATGCACCTTAGCTGTGTGGAAAACATTTATATCTTGATTGTGGTGGTGGTGGTGACATGGTATATTACATTTGTCAATCTTAAATAGTATTTCATTTTTGAATAAATTCCTTAATAACATTGTAAAACTGCAGCTCTCTGAAAAAGCTGCATCTATATTAAAACTCTGCAGACCATTTGACATTGGTTGAGTAGAATGTCATCATTATGGAGAGATGGAAAGGTGAGGTCAACAGCCAAAATTACCACAGGATTATCTTGGACACTTTAGAAAAATACCCATTTGCTTTTAACGTTTTTTTTTTTTTTTTTTTTTTTTGCGGTAGTGGGGCTTGATCTCAGGCCTACACCTTGAGCCGCTCTACCAGCCCTTTTTTTTGTGATAGGTTTTTTAGAAATAGGGTCAGACTGTTTGCCCCGGCTGACTTTGAGCTGTGATCCTCCTAATCTCTGCCTCCTGAGTAGCTAGGATTACAGGTGTGAGCCACTGGCGCCTGGCTACTTTTAACTTTTGTGTCTGACTTAACATTCTCAGAACTGTTAGGTAAAACCTCTCAGAATGTATTGTTGGGCTTAGCATACCACTAGCTTCCACCAACCCTAAAGCTAAGAATGCTGTATGAAATCATCTGAAATCTACAGGACACAGTTCCCCATTTGGTTGTAGCCAAGTGTATCTAATACCCTCATTGATGAATTTGTTGAATTTATTAATTTATATCTTTCTTTTTTCTTTGGCTATAAAAGTTCATGTAACTTCTGTTGCTTTAGAACATACCATTCAGTGTTCCTGGGCCACAGTTATTCGTATTTCCGAATATGAATAAACTTTTTTGTTTCTTTCTCTTTTCTTCTTCTCCTCCTTTTCCCTCTTCCCCTCTCCCTCCTTCTTCTTTGTGGTACTGGGGTTTGAACTCAGAGCCTTGCATTTGCTAAGCAAGCCATTTACCACTTAAGCCATGACCCCAGCCCTTTTTTGATTTTTAGTTATTTTTCAGGTAGGGTTTCGCATTTCTGCCTGGGGTTGGCCTCAGATCACAATCCTCCTATCTATGGCCTCTGACATAGCTGGATGACAGATCCATGCCACTACCCTCGGCTTGTTGGTTGAGATGGGGTCTCACTGATTTGCTTGGGCTGGCCTGGAACAGCAATCCTCCTGATCTCCGACTCCCAAGTAGCTGAGATTATAGGCATGAGCTACTGCACCTGGCTTTAAACTATTTTATTTCCTATAAAGCAGAGTTGTTATCTATCTTGCATTGAAAACAATAAAAAAGATAACACAATCATAAGTTAGTTCCTTTAAGTCCTTCGTTTCCTCTCTACCTCTTTTCAATATACTCAGTGACACCAAAGGTGCCAAGAGTTAGCTATAGTATGTGTACACTAATTTCAAAAGAAGAAACATAATTTAATTTTTTCTATTGTTAATGTCTTTGTCCATTCAGGCTACTCTAACAAATTACCACCTTACAGGTGGCTTGTGAACAACAGAAATTAATTTCTCACTATTCTGGTGGCTGGAAGTCCAAGATGAAGGGAGTGGTAGATTCTGAGACTGGTGAGGACCCACCTTCTGTTTCACAGACTGTGGTTTTGTCACCATGATCCCACATGGCAGAAGGAGTGGAGATTTCTGAGGACTCTTTTACAAGGCCACTAATTATGAGGGCTTTACCATCCTGTCTTAATTGCTGTCCAAAGGCCCCATCTCATATCCTACCTTGAGAATTAAGCTTCGACCTATAAATATAGGGGACATATTCAGTCTATAGTTTAATTTTTTTTTTGGTGGGATCAAATATGCATCACTCCTCCTGGAGTAGCTATGCATGCGCATTTCCATATATCTCCATTTCTGTGATCATATATATATATATATATATATATATATATATCTCACTATTATTACATGCTTAGTGTGTGCCAGGCACTGTGTTAATCCCTCATCCCACAGATCCATTCCTTCCCTGTCCTCTTGCAAGGACTACCTAAACAAGTTACATGTCACAGCTGCTTTGGAAATAATAGAGGGCAGATGATATGGCAGCACCTGGGATCATAGAAACCGGCTATCTAAAGAGCATGTTTGTACAGGTCTTTTTTGGGGGCAGGTGACAGTGGGAGGGGGGAGGGCATAAGGAAAGGGTGAATATGGTGGATGTATTTTGTATTCATGTATGAAAATAGAATAATGAAACGTACTGAAATTGTTGAAGGGGGTAAATCTAATCAAGATATATTGTAAACACATATGTAAATATCAGTGTATCCCTCTGTACAATTATTAGGAAATCATAATTATGTATGTGTGTGTGTGTGTAGAGAGTGAATGTGTAAACTTGCTCCAACCCTGCAAAGGAAGAACAGTTTGCCCACCCTCCCCTCCTTTACCCGTGAAGGGAGGGTGCTGCCTTTGTCTCACATAGAAAGTACACCTTAGACCTCCCATTCGAGGCCAACTTTGCTATTTACATTGCTGCTTAGACTTTCAACAAACCAGTTAACTAGAAACAGACTTTTGTTCAAGCAGAAGCAATGATGGGAGGATTAAAAAAACAAAAAAACCACTGAAAGAAAATTTGAAACCTACTTTGTTGATTATGTTTCTATGAATGAAATCTGTTTGGGAAGTTCATCCTTGATTTGTATTTCCTTTCTAGACAAAATTTGTACTTTGGACTCTAATACCCACCACTCCAGTTTTGCTTTGAGATATGACATCAAAAACCAGAAGAAAGTATACCAGCCAGTCGAGACACACTACTAGTTGAGTCAAGAGGGTCATCTTTAATGGATTTTGTAAGAATTGTCTCAGGAGTTAACACAGGGAAGTTCATAAAGGGGAGAGTTCTTCTGGTGCTGGTATGGAACCAGTGCCTCGGCATGCTAACATTGCTAAATTGCACTCCCCAATTCCTTTAAGGAAAAGCAAGAATACTGATAAAGATCTTTGGTTTTTCTAACCATGCGAATTTATTACACAACAGCCACTTGGAGAATATTGAAATAAAAGATTTACACCATGATCCACCTTTTGAACACTGGTTTATTTTTCTGGGCAGTTAACTGAATGATGTTGCTGGGACAATGCTGTCACCTTTCAGCACAGCTTATCTGTAAGATTTCCTATCTGAATGTCCTTGTTGTTGACAAGCTGGGGGAGGGGAGCAAGCACTTATCAGTGAAGGGTTGGCTCTTTCTCAAAGAATTTTGTCTACAATTCCCTATCATTTATACCTTTAAGAAGTCAGTATTGACGTATGATTTTATTTCACTGAAAATTCTGATTAGTTTTTGAAGAGAACCAGTGTTCTTCCCAAGAAAGGCTCCCCCTCCTCATGGTACTGAGGATTGAACTCAGGGCCTGATCTTCCTAGCTAAGTGCTCTTCCACTTGAGCCACGGCCTAATCCCTATTCACTGCTTCCAGGGGATGTATAGAATGATTATCCACATGTGAAGTTTAACGTATCATTCGCTCCTAGCTTTTTTGGAATGGGGCATAGCGCAGCAAGGAAGTACAAAGTTTCAGAGGCAGATGAGTTTGGGTCAAATCCACTAAAGTCACTGTGGATATATTGCTTATCCAACACCAACTACCCACGTGGAGTAAAACCCGCTTTTCAAGGAGGCTGTGAGGAAGGACTACAATAATGTGTAAAACACACAGTACAGTGTTTCAAGACAGTAGCTATAGCTGAGCATAGTGGTATACACCTATAATCCAAGCATTAAGGAGTCTGAGACAGGAAGATCACGAGTTTGAAGCCACCTGGGCTACACAGTGAAACTCAAAAAACTGCAACCAAAAAAAGTCAAGTCACATTAGGGGTACAGTTGCAAATTCTTGTGCATGAAATACAAAGAAAACAAGTAGTACTGGTAACAACACATTTATTTCCGTACCCTATTGTGTGACCAGGAGGTGTTTTTCACTTTCCAGTAATTGATTAGGTTATAACAATTAAAATCCAGAAGGTAAACTAGTGACTTATTGTTGCTCATAAGCATAGGTAAACAGACATGGTACCACATAAAGGAATTTTAAACACTTCTAACCTTTTGGTAGTTTTGAATACGGACCACTAGACTTTGGCAATAGACCCAATAGATTGATATGCTCCTAAACCTTGTAGTTTTCCTCAGACACAGCATGAAAAACTTGGATTTAATGTTTGAACTTTAGAGATTGAACCAAGATTCTTAGGAAGTTGCAAAAGGCCAACATTACTTGAGGCTGTCATAGTATCACCCATTTAAGTGTTTTGCTATTCAAAGTGAGATCTTGGTAGGCAGCAACTACATGCTAGTGTCATTTTGTAGATTTAGCATTTGTTGAAAATAATTTCTAAAGTTTAAGTAGTTTTAACTTAACCTTCTGCATACCAATTAAAGGAATTCAGGTAGATCCCAAGTCAAAGAACTGGACAGCTTATCAAATTGGGTTTCCAGTTAGAATCAGTCACTTCTAAGCATTTGCATCAATTCAGGGCATTTCCTTTCAGGCCTTTTATTCCTGTCCTGAAATCTTGTATTTTTAGAGGGTTTGATATGGCTACTCACTGCTAGAAGAGGATATAAGCATGTGCTGATCACCAAGTATGAGATTTATATTACATTAAATTAAAATTATATTCTGTTGGAAATAGGTAAGAGGGAGTTCCCAGATCCTAAAAAATATTATGGCCAAGGAAATGGAGAACTCAAAAAAGAATCCACCTCCAAGAAACTAATTCAGTATAGTAAAATAGAATTAAGTGCCCAATCTTAGGAAAAAGTCTACTAATAGGGAACTAGGACACCACACATTTCTTTGGAGATTAAAGTGCAGGCTATGAAATGGCTTATAAAATAATGCATGAAATAGTGCAATCCTAAGGTGCCATTATTTTTATGACGCATAGCCTATTTTCATGTTCATTTGCTCTCAAAAATCCAGCTGTAGTGACACCTTTTAGCTTATTTATTTAGGAATTACTTATACTCTGTTTAACCCACTTTTGGGGTTACATAGAACATTTTAACATTTTAACATATAGAATAGCACACACATCTTGAAACTACTAAATAGAGATTAAGGCAAGCCCCTGTAAAGTTCAGTACTCCAAAAAAACATTTTTACCAAAATGTTGCTTCCAAAACCAGTGGCTTTAGACCTGATGGCACCCCAATAGTCCTTACAACAGTAGGGTTACTCGGAATACATTTGCATTTGCCCCATTATTTCCAGGCGCTGTACATCAAAAAAGATGGTTGAAAAACAGCAGGTTTTGTATTAGCTCAGGATGTGTGAAAACCGAGTAAGCCCTCCATGTGGTTAGATAAGCAGAGGATCCAGTCAGGGTGAGGGGGTGTGGCCAGTATTCTTCATTTCTTATGTATGTCTTTTCACATTTTTATCCACGTGTGTAGTGTTGTACTATAATAAATTTATACATAAAAGTGACTCAGAAGTCTTTGAAAAGTGGCCAAGGAAGATGATGGAGATACTTTATGAAATTTTTGTCTTAACAACCCACAACATTTAAATTACTAACATTCTCTCTTAGGTTTATAATTTTTTCATAACATGTTAATTTTAGCTGATCAAAGTAATTTGTGATTTGTAGAACCCTAAATACAATTATGGTATCCAAAAGCAAGTTTAAAAGCTACCCAATAAGATAAATGGTGAAGGCAATATCCTAACATGTTTTAACAATTCTAAGACTTAAACTGTCAACTGTACTGCTTTATTCTCCTAGTCATGAATATTCATGCACCAAGTGCAGCTCAAGTTTACAAACAAGGGAATAGAGCATATGCTGTAGAAATCTATGTTTGGAACAGAAAGTTTCTCTCTAATAGTGAGTGCTCATTATGAAAGCCATATATTCATGTTAACTAGTGGAAGACTATACATACATTTATGCTACGCAGATGTAGTTTTGAAAAGAAATTCAGGAAACTTTTAATAATTATAAAGACATAATCTGAGGCATCTCCCTTTGATGCATAAAGATCATACTTTGTAAACCTGTACTCTGATACATAAAAAACATTTTCTTATTATCAGAAAAGCAGACTATTAAAGTTATGCCGTGAGTATTCCAGTAGGCCTCCTCCAAAGTTATGGCAATATGGCTAAATCCTATGATTACAAAAATGAGACCTGCTGAGAAAATAAGTTCCAGACATGGGACTTTTATGGATGACCTTGGCTGACAAAATGTTTTTAGGAAACTGTTTATTTTTAAATTACCTTCCCAACAAACCATTAAACACTTGGATGTTACTTTGTGGTTTTTCATTGAAAACATACTACATTGTAAATGGAGTTTCAAAGTTAGACATAGAAATGATCAAAATCTAAGGACAGTATTATGAAAGGACAGAACTAAAAACAGATAGGAAAGTTCCATTTGGTAAGATTAACCGAAAGGATGCATAACCATGTCATGTTGGACGGATAAAAAAAGGCAATAAGCTTGTGCTTTTATTCAATTATGGTACTTACCAAAACCTTAGGTTTTATACATGTGTCAAACTCCCACCTGGAAAGGGATAGTTTTCTGTATTACACCTAAACTTATTTAAATAACTGTAGCCCAGGGCAACAGTTCCTTAAAAGAACGTAACAGTAAAATAACTACATAATTTAACACATTAAAATAAAACCAGGACAGTGATAAGTTGAATGACTCAGAAATATACAACTGGGGAAAAGAACACAATTTGGAGGTTGTTAAAGTGACCACTTAGAAGGTTGAACAGTGCAAGACATGCTTTTCCAGTTACAAGCTCAAAACAGGAGTGCAAACAAAATTAAAGCTTTTGTTTAAAGTTATAATGCAAGGAAAGCCTGAAATTAATGTTAAGACGCTTTCCTCAGGTCAACCCCTAGATACGAAATGCTCAGATTTTTCATGGTACAGTTTTCTTCAATGAACTTTCTTTCAGTAGCAAAACTGCATCCATAGTAGGATCCCCTACTCAGTCACCACATCTGATCCATGAGCAAGCACACAGTGGTGAGTTAGGATCAGTCCTAGCTCCCAGAGATCTGATCTCAATAGAAAGAGCCTTGGATTTGGGGTTCTACCTTAGCTAGTGTGACTGAACCCTGCGGAGAATAGATAAAGCAATGGGCTTTAATAGTCTCTTGTTCCTATAAAACTGGAGGACAAATGGACTAACAATTCTCCCCCTAGAGGCAAACTGTTGCAGTGGAAGATGTTAAGTGCTTACATCAATGAAGACACTGCTCTAAAAGTGGAGAAGTATAGAGATTCAGGATCAAGACCAGTGCAAGAGCTTTGTAAGTGAGTTGACTAGGCAATGCATGCATCCATCCATGCAAATGTAGGACATGGCCCGAAAACAAACTGAAAACATGTATGTAACAACTGGAAACATCCCTTGCCAGCAGTTTATAAAAATATATAGTCAATACTGTAGAGGCTCCTTCTACAGTGAATACTATGGAAGTCCTTTCATTTACCCATCACTTCAATATTAAAAAGCATTAACTACTTTTTAGACATTCCAGACAAAGGTCACTTATAACAAAAAGTCAACTTTTTTTAAACAAGATAGTGTCCATTTAAAAAGTACTTTTTTTCTTTCAAGTGAACAGGACATTTTCTGTATTAAACTTAAGTTCTAGTCTATCAAGACTGAGTTTAAGATCTTTATGTAATGTGCATATATGCAGATCAAATAAACTTACTTTAAACATTATGTGCACAGAAAAAAAAGTTAGCTCCCCAAAACATGATAGAACAGGTCTGGTTAGTACAAATCTATTGCAAAGTAAAAACATTCTGTGCATCAGTTCCACCAGAAGTGGGAAAAGAAAGTCCCAACCATTAGAGTTCAAGTGTAAGTTGTATTCTGAAAGTCTAGAAGCTTAAGGGACACCATGTTGCTCCCAGTATCCTGATATGCATAATTGCTTAACCTATCTCTTCCTCTGGAGCTAGAACCATATTCCAATTTACTTCCTATTCCGAAGTCGTTTGGATTTCCTAAGAGAGTCTATGGCTTCTGTTGCCTTTCTTCGTTTCCGAGGAGACTCTTCATTCTGCCCAGACCCTGAGGAGTTTCCTACAGCACTTTCCATTACTTCTCGTAGTTTGCGTTCTAGCTCTGCCAAACGTGCATTCTGTTCACCTATGATCTGGGTCTGCTCTAGCAGTTTCTGGTCTTGGTCTTGAAGCTGCTTCTGCTGTTCTTGCACTTTGGTGCGAAGCTCAGAAATTTCACGTCTGAGAACAGTCACTCCAGCACCATTGGTTTTAACCTGCTGCTGGAGTTTGGTAACCTCTTGTCTTGAAGGGTTTTGCTTGGAGAAGAGCTGCATTGTTGTTAGGGCTGCAGATGGTCCTGGAACTGTAGGAAAATAGTTTAAAAGGGTTAATCACTTAATGTTTTCCTACCAGTAATACTTGTTTTAGAATGGAATATCCTCCTGAAATCACTTCTGATTTCTTTTTCTTTGCAATCTACTTGCTTTAATGGACTAATCAGATAATTTAACAATAAATGAGTTTGAATTCTCATTTTCCTGATCATGTGGACTGCCAACCAATAGAGAAACTTGGATTCAAAATATAAACATTTTTAGGACCAAGTAAGAAAATACAAATAGTGAAATTGGAAAATAATACTTTTCTATCTTATTTTACATAAACAAACATAAACCTTTTTGTTTGTTTCCCATTTTCTTTCCTCCCCCATCTTTTTTTTTTTTTTTTTGGTTGGGATGAGGTTTGAACTCAGTGCTTTGTGCTTGCAAAACAGGTGCTCTACCACTTGAGTCACACCTGTACTCCATTTTACTCTTTGGAAATGGGGTCTCATGAACTATTTGTCCTAGCTGGCCTCAAATATTGATCCCCCAATCTCAGCCTCCTCCCAAGTAGCCAAGATTATAGACATAGATAGACTTAGACTTGTACATCTAAGTAACCACTGTAATTTCACTGTCTGAGGTATACTCTTCTTTCCCTCATCCAACTTCCACTTTTATTCCGAGGTATAGACCAATTCTTACCTCATGACATTATCAATCAAACCAACCAATACTGGTTTTATCTCCATTAAGATTCGGTCTCTGCCATATTTGTATATAATTGGATAGTGTTTTGACATATTTTTCTTCTCTACAATAATTTAATTTCAATTCTAGGTATGTCTTATCTTTAAAAACAGTAAGATTCCCGAGAGCACATAGCATGTATTTCTTTTCTTTTCAGTTTTTTGTGAGTATTAAATCTTTATGTTTTATCAGTATATTTTTTGTTGTTGTTTTTTGGCAATACTGGGGTTTAAATTTAGGGCTTCGTGCTGCTAGGCAGGTACTCTGTTGTTGAGTTGTACTTCCAGCCCACTTTTTAGTCTCTATAGGTCACGGTGCAGTGCTGTGCATCTAACAGTACTTAATGTCATAGGCTTCTTTATTAAATTAGAAACAGTTACTCCACTGAGTATTGGAGGGAAAAATCTGAACAAAACAGAAAGCTTACTAAAATTTCCCCCCTAATTTAAAGTATTTGCAAGAGTAAAAGATATCAAACAATTTAGTCTTTTTTTTTTTGGTGCTGGAATTGAACCCAGGGCCTCGCACATGCTAGGCAAGCACTGTACCACCGAGCTACATCCCAGCCCCAATTTAGTCTTTCAGCAGATAAAGAGCATAAATCTCTAGTATCTAATATGCTTTCACAAAGCAGCTACCACACAAGTAACACTTTGCAAAATAGCTACCACGAAGTGACAGGATTCAAAATAGCCTACAACATACCCTGTCTTTTAAAAAAGTATTGTATACACATATGAATAATAAAAAAATAAAAATTAAAAAAAGAAAGTAGCAGCCAGATACTGCGGTGGCTGAAATAGTACACTGCATTATTTGCATGAAGAATATTTTGAACTGGGTATGGTGACACATGTCTCTAATCCCACACTCAGGAGACTGAGGCAGGGTGATCAAGTTCAAGTCCAGTCTGGGATACATATTAAGTCCCGTCTCAAAAAATATCAAAAGAATATTTTGGGTTTTATCTGGTATAACTTTTGTTTTTAAAAAATGAACATTAACTAATCAGAAATGGTACTTTAAGTCAATACTGTGGTATTTGCAAATATTTAGCCATAAGATTGTTCTACATAGCATAATTTAATTAAAAAAAAAAAACAAAAAACAAAGAAAACTATGCCTACAACCCTAGCTACTCGGGAGGCAGAGATCAGGAGGATCGAGGTTCAAAGCCAGCTCAGGCAAATAGTTCGTGACGCCCTATCTCAAAGAAACCCTTCACAAAAAAAGGGAGGGGGGGAGGGGAAACTCATGTAGGCTCAAGGAGGTGTAGGTCCTGAGTTCAAGCCCTAGTACTGCAAAAAAAAAAAAAAAAAAAAAAAATTAGAAACAAAGAGCTGAGGAAGAGCATGTGCTTGGCATGAATGAAGCCCTGGTTCAATTTCTAGCACCAAATTGAAAAAAAGTAAATAAATAAAAAAAAAAAATTTTTTTAAAAAGGAAACTAGAAATAACAGATATGCCCAAGAGTAGTGGACCAATTATATAAGTTATGGTCTGTAATTCAATCTATTACTAAAAATGATGCTACAGATAAATATTTACTAACAGAAAATTTCAAGATATGTGGTTAAATGAAAATAGTAAGTAAAAGCATATTACAGAAGTATGCATGAATATTATTAAAACTTTGAATACTATAATCAAGAGTTACCTGGAGGAGAGCCCATGAGTCTTCCAGAAACATCTGAGCCTGGCAATTTTCTCTTTAGAATTGGAACAATCTTCTCATCAAAGTACTCCATTGCCATGGAGGAAATATCTCTTAACTCTTGCAGTACTTCATGAGCTCGTTGAGGGGCTCTGGTAGAATTTACATACCTCAATACACGATAAATTTCATCAATTACCTAAAACAATGAATTCTCATTAGCATTTAAAGAATTTTTTTAAAGAAAATAGCTAAATATGCAGAAAAACGATCACTTGTTTTGCAATTCCTGTACAGATCTATGGGATATTTTAACTGATGTACTGGCCATGGATAATATTATTATCTGCAACATGTAACTTTTAGGCTTGTTATAATACTTTATACTTAATACTTAGACTTATTAGTTATTGTCCCAGAGCTAAGAAGTCAGGACAAATAAAATATAGCTCCTCCCCTGAAGGAAATCATAGAATAATTGGGGAGACATCTGTACAGACACATGATATAAAGAGGGTTACACAAATTGCTAAAGAAACCAGAAGACCAAACACAAATTAAATCCCACATGGGAGTAGTGGTAGGGTGGGGTTATTACCCAAACCCATATTCTATTAATCCTCCAAATCCAAATCCAACTCCACTCCCCAAGCCCCAGGAACTCAATCCAATTTCCTTCTCTCTTTTGCACTGCTCCCACAGGTTCTATCCCTTTAAAGTTTAAAGTTTCATTCTCCAAGAGTCACCATGGATTGGAATGGTTTCCTTAGATCACACTTTCTTGCCATCACCAAAGGGTAGCAACTGTTTTAATGATAATTGCAATGGGGAAACCCAAGGCACAATATACATGGAGAAGAAACAAAATTCTTACAATACTAATATTAATTATCCCCTCTCTTGTTGAAATTGTAACTGAACTTTCTCAGTCATTTATGCTCTCAGCTTTTATCCCTGTGAGGGTATCCTTAATATTTCCCATGGCTTCACCATAGACCTGAAGATAATAATTCACATTCCTAAAGCCCACAATCTGAATGACATCTATTCCAATGGGACTTTTCCCCATGAGAATTGTGTACTAACAAACCAAACCATTCTGTCACCAAAACCTCAGGCAATCTTTAATCAATACATTCCTCCCACTGCATTTATCCAGCCAGTTCTCCCAGTTCCCAATTCTGGATCCATCTTATAATGGGTCTTCTCTTCTCCTTTACTCAGATAGCAAACATATATTGTTTACTAGAGAAACATAATCTAGCAGAACAGTACCTGGACAAACTCCTAGTCCTTAACATTTTCTATACTTTCAGTAGTGTGATGGTCCTTGTCAGTCTAGAATGACAAGAACCATGGGATGGTCCCACGGGATAGAACACCTGCCTAGCAAGTACAAAGCCCTGAGGTCAAAAACCAGTACCATACACACACAAAACAAAAAAACAAGGACCTAATACATGTCAGCAAGATTTTTTAAAGTATTAGGATTTGTCCTTTTCATAGAGCCAACAAAACTTCATAGAAGAGTCCACGTTTGTGGGACTGAGGACTGAACAGGAACTGCCATGGGCTGAATTGGTGTGTGCTTAGATGGATGTTCTGAGGGATAAGGTATGTTGACTATTTTATTTTATTTACTTTTATTTATTTTTTTGATAGGACTGGGGTTTGAACTCAGGGCTTCACACCTGCAAAGTAGGCACTCTACTGCTTGAGCCACACCTCTAGTTCATTTTGCTCTGGTTATTTTGGAGATGGAGTCTCTCAAAATATCTGCCCAGGCTGACCTCAAACTGCAATCCTGATCTCAGTCCCTCAAATCAGTATGCTGATTTTGAATTACATGGGATAGTCAGGTGATACCTGCTTGATGGCAGCTGGCAGCTGAAGTACAGGTCAGGAACACAGGAGAGAAACTCAGATGATAGTGATGCTTCAGTAGCTAATAAATAGATTGCCAAGGGAGAATATGCAGAACCAAATAATCAAAGGCAAAATCCAAGGCACTAGTGGTTAATGCTGTATTATTTCTGGCATTACTACTAAGGAACTCACTTTAGAAGAAAATCACTTTTTTTCAAAGATAATTTATTCAATTACCACATTGGAAACTAATACATATGTCAAGAAAAAGAAAATAAGAGTACTTTCCCTTGGACTTATAATTTAATTAGGTGAGAATATCCTAAAATTACAAGATAAACATTTTATTCAAATAGTTACTGAGTTCCTTCTACGGACATGTCATATTAAAAAGCAGCAAATGAAGATGACAAGACCCTTATTATAATGAAGTTTAAGTAAACAAATAATGAAGTAATTTAAAGTTATGCCATGAGGAAAAAAGAGAGTAATGTGATAGTTCCTGTGGGAAGAAGAGGGAATACATCAGATGGTGTCTGGGAAAGGCTTCTTGACATATTTAAGTAAGAATGAATGATGATGTAGAACTGATCACTTTGGAGATCCAGGAAGAAAACAACTGAGGCAGGAATAGTAATGGTAATGGTCTCAAGGCCAGTGTCAGTGTCCTGAAGACAGGACAATTCCTATCTTGTTCACTGTGGTATCTCTGCAAACAGCAAAAGTTAAAAATTTTTTCTTGAGAATGGAACTCTTACCAAGCTTCCCTACAGAGTATCAGAGCTTCTTATATTTTACAATTAGAATTTTAAATATAAAGATCACACAAATGATACATATTCCTATGGTAATTGTACAAAACTAAACATACCCATTCTGAGAAGCTCATTCAGAAGCATGGACAATGCTAACATTGTAAAGACCACTTCGTAAGTTTCTAACAACTTAAAGTTTGCATGTGACACTCCAGTTGTTTTGGATAAACAGATCCACTTTACCTTTCCTGGGATGAAGCAACAGAGATTGGAATCCACATACTTCATAAAAGTCATATTTAACAGCGACAGCCTGGTTTCCACAGCAGCAAGTATGTCTGCATGGCGGGCTAAAGAATGGTTTCTCCTTTCTGACTCTCTCCTAAAATAATAGTAAAAATAAATGGCAACTATTAACACAGTAGGGTAGAATAAACTGTTAAGCAAACAAAATGCCTTCCTGAAACAATCCAACTATGTTTTTGTTATTATTGTCTTGAGGTAAGATTGACTTCGAGCTGTGGTAAACTGAGTAATGATCCCCTCCCCAAAGATGTCCATTTTGACATGTTAGACATTACATCTACATCGTAATCCTTAACTATAAAGATGAATGAATCACTGTGCACAGATGTCCTTGATAAGGACTAATTCTAACTACACTTCATATTAAGAAGAATTACAGCTAGTGGAGTTGCTCAGTGGTAGACCCCTTGCCTAGTACATGCACGAGGCTGGCCCAGGCTCGCCTCAAGTTCTCCATCCTCCTGCCTCAGTCTCCCGAGTGCTGGTATTACAGGCTTGGATCACCAGGTCCATCTACTTTTGTTTTCATATATAAGAAACACTAATCCAAGTTCATGAAGATTTACTATTATGTTTTCTTCCTAGGGTTCCAGAGTTACTCCTGCCATTTACACATAGGACTATGGTCCCTTTGCAAAGCGCATGAGGGAGAGGTGTAAATTCATTCTATCACATGCAGATACTTCTTGAAGCCAGGTCCTGGAGGTCACGCCTGTAATTCTAGCTACCCAGGAGGCAGAGATAAGAATCACGTTTGAAGTTAGCCCAGGCAAATACTTCTTGAGTCCCTATCTCAATACCCAATACAAAACAGGGTTGGTGAAGTGGCTCAAGTGGTAGAGCACCTGCCTACCAAGTGTGAGGCTCTGAGTTCAAACCCCAGTACTGCCCCCCACAAAAAATATTTTTGAAACAGGGTCTCACTATATAGTCTACGCTGGCCTTGAACTCATGATCCTCCTACTTAGCTTCCCCAAGTGCTGGATTTACAAGCACACACCAACTATACCCAGTCAATTTTTAAAAACATTACCCTTTTCTCATTGAACTGTCTTAGCATTGTTACTGAAAATCAACTGTCTTTTGCTAGAAAAAGTTGGAAGACTATGTAAACTCTTGGGATTTAAAAAAAACAAAAATTAGAGAAACCACCACCCACAACTGTAAATTAATGCCATGGCTAGCCATAACATACCTTGGAAGTTGTGCTTTAACTTGTTTCTGACATAGATTATGGTACCTCTCCACTTTGAGAAATCCCTGATTCAACATTCTCTGACAGACCAAGTCCATTCTTTTACAAACCTATGGCAAGACGGGAGACAGAATTTTTTTCTTTTAAATCAACAACCAAATCATTAACAAATACCTGAAAGTTCTCAGTGCTAGTACTGTTCCCCAGTTTGCTGTATGAATCTCTGAATCAGTGTCAGTGAGTGAATCCCTTAAGCCATGTAATTTCTATAGTATTAAGAAATTAATATCATTTACTTTAGATGTTAGGTGCATGTACCCAGTAAGTTGTGGCCCTGTGGATCAGTAAAAACTGTACCTGGAAAGCTTTTTAATAGCTTGAAACAGAGAAATTCCCTTTTAGGCAAAAATGTATATCAAACTGAGTCTAACCTCTCACAAAATTTAAATGATCAACAACCAGAATGACTGTGTAGCACAAAGACAACTACTTTGAGTTCTTAAGGCATATGCTATTTTTACAGTAAAAATATCAGATGTCAGAACAGCTGATTTGAGTCAACCTATATGCATTTTTGTGCAAGTCAGCTACTATTTGAAAGCTTTATCTAGCCATCTGTAAAATGTGACCAAATACTCAATCACTAGTATTAAATAAAATATAGGCTAAACCACTTGGTAAACTCTTAAATACTATATAAAATTGTTAAAGTTTATCTTAGTACTAATTTAAAATCTGCATTCCACATATATAGCTGTTATATTTAAGATATTCTAACATCTTTTTCATCTTAATAAATCTAGTATATAAATTTTTTTTCCTGTTTTAGTAGTTCTGAGGTTTGAACTCAGGGCCTCAACTAAAAGCACTCTACCACTTGAGCCATACCCCCAACCCCCTGTTTGTTTTCTGATCCCTGACAAACTTTCAGTGCTTCAGTTATAGGGCTGGAGGTTGAAAGTAAGACAATGAAGTAAATGTCTGCCAAAGATAAGTCAATTATGTCAGAGGCATCTTATGTTTCTGTCTCTCACAGCACCCATGTATAAATGTGTGACACACATTTGATGCAATGAAATGCTGATGAAACCCCAGATATGTTTGTTTTCTCCTTAGAATACAGGGAGACAAAAATTCCTGCAAACTAGGTTGAAGTACACAAAGGCTTTAATATCAACACCAGGCATTTCCTAAATCACAGAATGCTACATGAAATGTATTAATATTTATTTTCAACTTCATAGTAAATTAAAAAACAAACTTTGAGTACTGTGACTTAAGTAATTTATAATGATAGTTTAAAATACAATAGAATCTACTCCTAACTAAGCCAGTTACCAACATTTGTTCAGAGTAACTGAATAAAAAGGCCAATAAACCCATATATTATATTGTCTATGCAATATTGGGGTTTTGAACTCAGGGACTTGAGATAGCTAGGTAGGCTCTCTATCACATGAGTCATGCCTCCAACCCTTTAACATATGTTTTTAATGAAATAAATAACTCTTCCTTCCAAAACAAACTAGTGAGGGTCATTATTTTATATTTTGAAGAGCTCTTCTATAACCAAGTTATAACTTCTATAACTTGGAAAATTCTAAAAAACAAAAGAACACACAGCACATATTTTATTAGTTATCAATGTGTAGATAAGATCACGTTATACAACTACCAGAATGAGTGAAAAACACAATAATAAAAATATTTTAGATCTTATGGACCCCTGAGATGATCTTGGGAACCCCTATAGTTTCCTTGGACCACACTTCAGACAATCTGCACCCTAATTCTGAATAATCACATTTTTACAAACACCAGTTTTCAACTCTTATGTGAGAAAAAATATATACTTTTATTGTATTGAGAAAAGACATTATTTTTGAGTGTGAAATGAAGGCAACAGAGAGGGCTAAATTCTCATCTTTCACAGTAGAAGCCAAATAAAAACTAGTGGTATGGCTCAGGTGCGAGAAAGCCTGTCTCATAAGCTTGAGGCCCTGAGTTCAAATTTCAGTACCAAAAAAAAGAAAACCCCAAGGTACCTTCTGACACAACCTTGTAGAACACTTAATGTCTCTATAAACTCTAAAATGCTGTTAAGTTCTAAGATGAAATATCTATCTACGTACCTATCTATTTATCCTTCTAGAGAAACGGTCTCACTATGTAGATGAAGCTGGTCTGAAACTTGCTATGTAATGCAGGCTGGCCCTTAAACTCATGATCCTCCTGCCTCAGCCTCCCAAGTGCTGGAATTATAGGCATTCACTCACTATGAAATAATTTTTAAACAACACAATTACACAAAATTTAAGGTCAATCACTACTATTACAATTGCCAAGGTTCAGCTGAAGTTACTTTGTTTTGCTGCACTGACTATAGCTAGTTGTATGATTTACAGTATCTTTTATGAATCACTTAGAAACTCAAGCAAATATGAGCACTGACTAGTTTTGAGTATCGAAGAATGGCTGATGAGAATAAGTCAACTACAGGAGACCTTACATGACAAAAAATTTGAAACTAGACTTTGAAGGAAGAGGGCAAGGACTGCCGAGTTGCAGTTGATAGTGCAAAGGCACAAAGTCTAAAATGAGAAAACCATTGGCAAGCATTCTACCACTTGAGCTACACTTCCAGATAAAGATCACTCATCTTTTGAAAGATCTGGTACTATGATGGTTGGTTATTTTCTATAAGCACTGTAATATTAGGACTAAAGGACTAAAGATATGGTTCTGCAAATTTCACTAGAGATAGCGAGGATTGATGTAGATGATCACCAAAAGAAGAAGTACATGGGGGGAAAAAAAAGGCTTACAAATAAAAGCTTAAAATGACATTTGTAGTTCAGAACTAGTAAAAAGAAAAAAAAAGTCTCAAAGACAAATTAGAACAGCACCACAAAAATCAACATAAAAATATGTAAAGCATTAATCAACAGTGTAAGACAAGCTCAGTGTTCTAATGTGGTCCTCATCCTTTCATGGATGTTCAATAAACACTGACTGACTCATAAACACAAAGATACAAAAGAGCATACACACAACTTTTATTTAGGATTTAGAAGAAAGCAAAGTGACTGAAGGAAAACTAAAATATACTGCATGTCCCCCAAGAGAACCAATTTAATGACTACTGCTGACAGTGTAAGGTAACTTGCAACTCTAAATTATCTCGCTCTGTGATATAATGCTCAGACGCCCTCGTTCAATCCTTAGCTCCCCAAAACAATCAAAACCCAAACCAAAATTGCCTCATTTAAAGTAGAGTTCTAAATTTAAGGACATGTTAATGATGTTCTAAACTAAAGGGAAGAAATTTTGTTTCTCTGGTTATTAAAACAAACAAACAAAAAATCCTAGGAATTTCACAATTTACCCAAGACAGTAAGTTAAAAATACAGAGCCTAATAAAAAGATGATGATATGTTAAAAACTATGAGGGCTCATAGAGGCAGAAGGGAGAATGGTGGTTTAGAAGCAGCTGAGAAGAGCTGAGGAGAGGAGGAGAGCAGGTGATCAAGGGTACAGAGTTACAGTCAGACAGGAGTAAGATCTGGTGTGCTACTGCCCAGTAGGGGGACAACTGATACCGATAATATACTGTACATTAACAAAAGTTAGGTAAAGGATTTTAAATGCTTTTGCTAGGAGGAAATGATAAATGTTTGAGGAGAAAGGTACGTTTACCAAGATTCAAACATTACACAGTATATATGTATGTCACAACATCGAATAGGCCAAGAGGAGTGGTGTATGCCTAAAATCCCAGCACTCGGGAGACATGAGCAGGATGGTAAGTTCCAGCCAACCTGGGCTACACAGCAAGACCCTGCCTCAAAAACAAATAAACAAACAAACAAACAAACAAACCCAACTCACATGATACCTCAAAAATAAATACGGTATGTATCAGTTAAAAAGAAAAATGGTGACAGTAAAAAAAAAAAAAGTGAATGATGTCATGGGAAACAGCTTTTGATGGCACCCATTTTTTAAAAAGTTGCAATAAATTTAGGTAGTTTGACAGATGTAAAGACACAGGAATAACCAAGATAATAGTTGCATATATCTGTTTGGGGGGAAGGGGGTACGGTACTGGGGTTTAAACTCAGGGCCTTGCACTGTAAGCAAGTGCTCTAACACTTGAGCCACGACCCAGCCATTTTTGGTTAGATAGGCACTTTTACATGGTTTTGCTTGTGCCAGTCTTAGAAACTGATTCTATCTGCCTCCTGAGAAGCTGGGATTATAGCATATACCACCATGCCTGGCTTGGTTTTTTGTTGTTTTTGTTCAGTACTAGAATTTGAACTCAGGGCCTACATCTTGAGCCACTCCTTCAGTCCTTTCTGTGTGTGTGTGTGTGTGTGTGTGTGTGTGTGTGTGTGTGTGAGAGTGTGTGTAATGAGGTTTTTTGAGATAGGGTCTCAAGAACTATTTGCCTGGGCTGGCTTCGAACTGTGATCTTCCTGATCTCTGCCTCCTAAGTAGCTAGGATTATAGATGTGAACCGCTGGTGCCCGACCTGGCTTGTTTTTTGAGATAGGGTTTTGCTAACTTTTTGCCTGAGCTAGCTAACCTCAAACCTTGATCCTATCTCTACCTCTCAAATAGCTGGGATTATAGGCAAACACCCCCATGCACATATATCTTATTAAGTTTTATTGATATGGAAAACTCAAATCCATAGATATTCTTTTTGAGACAGGGTCTCATTACATAGACCAGGCTGGCCTTGAACCCCTGATCCTTCTGCTTCTGCCTCCTGAATACTGGGATTATAGATGTATAACACAATGTACTGCTGATAGTCTCTTAAATAATATGCTAATTACAAAATATGTTAAATCAAAATAAAAAGTCTTAAATGTCATTTAAAATTTTTTAAGTACCCCAACAAATTATCAGAGCACTGACAGATTAGGAAAAATGTAAACTATAAAACATATACACTGAAACCCCAAAAAAGGAAACCTATGGAATAAATCATTGTACAAGAATGATACTTAGCTTAGGTTCCGTTATTATTTGCTGTTTTACCGTAAAAGACTTGTTCTTAATCTGTTACTTCAGGATTTAAAATGCCTTTAAAATCAATTCC